GGTGGCGGGAGCGTCGTGGAACTCGCCAAGAAGCCGTGTACGCAAGTGAGGATCACTTGGTACGCAAAGAAGATCCTTCCCCCGCGTGTGGACAAGCAAGTACCCCTCCTGGATCAAGTAGTGAGGAGGAGCCGGATTAGGCGAGGAGCAATTCGCGTACTTGTTGCGAAACTCGGGGTCGGCTTGGTAATCGCGGATGAAGCTGTTCCGCAGGTCATCGTCAATCTCGAAAGTCGAGTAGACCGCGGTACAGTGATCCGGACGCCGTGAAAGAGCATCCGCAAAACGGTTCGACTTCCGGGGAAGAAGTCGAACTGGTCGATGAAAGCCATCCATCGAGCGATGGTGCTGTTGGCGGTGTCTTGGGTCTTGTAGAAGACCAACGGATTGTTGTCCGTTACCCAACAAAATTGGCTTCGACCAAGGAGGAAGTGCTGCCACCGCTTGAGCGCGTGGACGAAGGCGAGGAGCTCCTTCTTGCGTGCATCGTCAATGGAATGCACGAGTGGCACTTTCTTGCTAAAGTACTCGACCGGGTGCCAGTCCACACCATCATGTTGCTCGAGGACTGCACCAATGCCATAGCCTGACGCATCCGTAGTGACACGTGTAGGCGCGAGCGGGTCGTATATCCGCAAGACCTCCGCATACAATAGCGCGTCTTTGAGAGCGAGGAATGATCCCCGTGCCTCCTCTCCAAAGTCAAACGACCGATCCTCGCATTGAAGCTTGTTCAAGTGGGCCGCGATCTTGGAGTAGCCTTTGATGAAGCGCTGATAGTAGCCGGTAAGACCAAGGATCGAGCGGACATCCGTGATGTTCCGAGGCTCCGACCACTCTTGGACGGCCTGAATCTTGTCCGATAGCGGACTAATGCCCTCCGGTGTGACAAAATGGCCCAAGTATTCCAGCTCTTGCCGGACAATTTCGCACTTGTCGCGGTTGGCCTTGTACTTGGCACGGCGGAGCGTCTCCAACACTCATCGAAGATGTCCAAGATGATCCTCCAATGTCCGGCTGTAGACGAGAATATCGTCTAAGTAGACCAGCCCGAACCGGTCCAACATTGCACGGAACTCATTGGTCATCGCCGCCTGGAATGTCGTCGGGGCGTTGGTGAGGCCAAAAGGCATGACCACCCACTCAAAATGCCCGTACTGCGTCTTGAATGCGGTTTTGTAGCGATCATTCGGCTGAATCGAGATTTGATGGTATCCTAATTTCAAATCCAACTTGGAAAAATACTTCGCACCGCCCAGCCGCTTGAGAAGATCGTCGATGCGAGGAAGAGGCCCCGCATTCTTGACGGTTTGCGCGTTGAGCTTGCGGTAGTCGATGCACAATCGTAGATCCTTGTTCTTCTTCCTGACGAAGAGAACTGGTGCTCCATATGGGGAGCTACTCGGGCAGATCCATCCCTTGGCCAGCAAATCATCGAGTTGTGCGCGGAGTACCTCAAGCTCCTCCTCGCTCATCCGATAGATGCAACCTTTTGGCGGCACGGCACCGGCCTCAAGAATGATCTCGTGAGAGATTGGCCGACCCGGCACCACACCGGTAGGTGACTCGAAGATGTCGGCGAACTCATCCAGCAAACGTACCACACGGGGGTCCGAAGACAAGTCCGTGGGTGAAGAGTCGGCTACCGCGACAGTCCGTAGGAAACATAGGCCGATCTCTTCGGGCTGCTCGTAAGCATAAGTCGCCCGGAATGATTTGGCCGTCACCACTTGGCACCGGATCGAAG